GTGGTGGAAACAGCATGGGCTTTGAAGTTGGAGAGTCCTGGCCTATTGGTTTCTGTGATCTCTGGCATGTTACTTAACGTTGCCAAGTCTCAATTTCCTCATTTGTAAATCATGAATAATTATGTAGTAGTTTTACTCCCAGTCATAAGGTATAGGGATATAAGATCTTTTTTAAAAAAAACATAATGAAACCATTAGCCATTAAGGAACTTGAGACTTTATGGGTGAAGTGGGACTTGAACTTAGGTCAGAAATAGAACTATAAATATCCTTATAATATGTTCACACCTACTAAAATAAAATGATAAAGACCACACACACAAATGTACTTGTACATATTAAATAATATGAATTATATTGTATTAATTTCTATTTATCATCCTTTACTTGCTAAAAACTTCTAGATCTATTCCATTAGGAGTTCAATAATCTCACTGTAAATTTGTTTTGCTTTTTTCATAAATAATACATATTCCAGGAGTCATGGTTTTTTCTACATCTGATCTTCATCCAAATGTGCAATTTCTTTGTGACTTGGACTTTCTAAGTATCCAACATTTCCTGGGTGATTTCTCCTATTTCTCTATATTTCTCTAGTCCCTTTGAGGTCCCAGAGACATAGAGTAGTTTGGGTGTTTGTTATGGAAAAAGCTTTGTTTGATACTGTTTAACCTACTCAGCTTGTTGTCAGATAACTTCTCTGATACCTAGAGTTATATACTTGTCACTCCTCATGACAATGTTAATTCCTCTTCATCAAGTCCACTAGAATATATTTCTAAGGCCTCAATGTACCCTGCTTCACCTTTTTTCTCTCTTTGTAGAGGCATAATTATAAAATCTCCTCTTGTTCCTCTATCACCTGCTTTACCTCTCTTTTCTTAATTTTTTCTTGTTCTGATTATCCTCAGTAGAAGTACTTTGCAATTTACATATCCTGAAACTAAAATCCACAAAGTAGTCTAAAAAGTGTCAAGAAGCAATTTTCCATATATTCATCTTTCCCGTTCCTTAGAAGGAAACTCGTACAGATTTTCTTAAGCGGAAAAGGTAATATCATTGAAACTAATGGTACACAGCTACTTCAGTAGTTAACAAACAAGCATGTATATGATATTTATTGTTTATATTGCTGAACCTTTAGGACAAATAGGCCCAGCAGGACTGTGAAGATAATAGAAATTAATGAACCGAGACACAGTGGCATATGCCTGTAGTCCCAGCTACTTGGAAGGCTGAGCAGAGGATTGCTTGAGCCCAGGAGTTTGAAATCAGCCTGGGCAACATAGGGAGACCTTGTCTGAAAAATGAAAGAACGAAAGAAAGAGAGAGAGAGAGAAAGAAAGAAAAAGAAAGAAAGAAGAAAGAGAGAAAGGAATGAGTGCAAAGAAAGGAAGGAATGCAAAGGAAGGAAGGAGTACAAAGGAAGTAGTATGGGATCATCATTCTTATAAACTCACCAACCAGTAGCACTCTTAAGAGGAGAACGTAACAATGCAACCCAAAAAACTCACTTGTGAAAATGACCACCTGGTGGCTTGCTTTTCTCATTCTGTGGTGTTCTAAGAAATCCAAATGCCTCCTAAATGCCAGGAAATCCTCATAAACAGAAGCGTGAATCTTCATAAAAATTCATGTTATAACCTGAATGGATATGGGATATGTTTCTATTCAAATTTAGAGGTAGAGGTACTCACCATTATAAAAGGATTACTATTCCTAGTTCTTTGACTGGTTAAGTGGATTAAATGTATGTATGTAAAGCACCAGGATATAATAGTGTCTAGCACATAGTAAGTGCTTGTGAAATATCGGGTCCCTTCTCTTTCCGTTTTAATGATTATACTTTTTTTCTCCCAGGATTTGGATGTAGCTTTGCCCATTATTGAGCATTACAAAGATCGGCTGTTGGCAATTGGAGAGGTAAACACCCATTGGCTGATCAAACAACTTCTAAGCCAGACTTCCATATGATATATGATCCTTAGTTCAGTATTGATGATTATAACTGACTTGGATAATCATGTTCACCTCATTCAGCTGAATAATAATTTGTTGCTACTTCTCAACAAGCATGAAAGCTTGGGGATGAACAATGGAAAGCCTTACCATAGGCTTATCTTAATAGGAAAAAACTAAAGCATTTCTAAACACTTTGCTTTTTGCTTAAATATGGGTCATTGCTCTGGTGAGTTAAAATAGTATGTATAGCTCTCCATAAGTAATTTAGAAACATACTTTATATAGGCTG